GGGAAAGCAAACCAAACATAGTAAGAAAGGTGCCACAAGAAGCACCCAACTTCTTGAAATTATGCACACCGATATTTGTGGACCCTTTGATGTTCCATCTTTTGGTGGAGAGAAATATTTTATCATTTTTATCGATGATTTTTCACGTTATGGATACATCTATTTGCTGAAAGAAAATTCTCAAACAGCAGATGCTCTCAAGGTGTTTGTTAATGAGGTTGAAAGACAATTAGATAAAAAGGTGAAAATCATTAGGTCAGATAGAGGTGGTGAATATTATGGAAAATATAATGAGTCAGGACAATGTCCAGGTCCATTTGCAAAGTTCCTCGAGGAACGTGGCATATGTGCACAGTATACTATGACAGGAATACCTCAACAAAATGGTGTTGCAGAAAGGCGCAACCGAACACTTATGGATATGGTTAGAAGCATGATAAGTAATTCCTCATTACCCAAATCATTGTAGATTTATGCTTTTAAAACCGATGTATATTTATTAAACAGGGTTCCTAGTAAGGCAGTTCCAAAGATCTCTTTTGAACTGTGGACAGGAAGGAAACCTAGTTTAAGGCACCTGCATGTTTGGGGTTGCCAAGTGGAAGCCAGAGTTTATAATCCACAAGAAAAGAAATTAGATTCTCGAACAGTAAGTGGTTACTTTATTGGTTACCCAGAGAAATCTAAAGGGTATGTGTTTTACTGTCCAAACCATAGTTCGAGAATGTTGAAACCGGTAATGCAAAATTCAATGAGAATGGTGAAGTTAGTGGGAGTGTTGAAAAGTAAAGTGTGGAAATTAAAGAGGTGAGGGTCAATATTCTATTACTCAAAAATGTGCTTACTTCCACACAAATACCAAATATTGTTCCAGTTGTTGAAGAACACTTTGACAACACCAAGAAATATTTGGATGAAACACCTCATGAAGAAACTAACTCACAAATATCTGACACAAATGAACCACAAGAAATGCCATTAAGAAAATCTCAAAGAGTTAGAAAATCGGCTATTTCAGATGATTACGTGGTTTATTTGCAAGAGTCAGATTTTGACATTGGTCTTAATAAGGATCCGGTTTCATTTTCACAAGCCATAGAAAGTAATGAGTCTGAAAAATGGATTGATGCCATAAAGAAGAGTTAAAATCCATGGAATACAATAAAGTCTGGGATCTTGTTGAATTGCCAGAAAGTTCTAAGAGAATCGGGTGAAAATGGGTCTTTAAGACCAAACGTGATTCAAATGGCAATATTGAGAGATATAAAGCCAGACTTGTTGCCAAGGGTTATACTCAGAAATGAGGCATTGATTATAAAGAGACTTTTTCGCCGGTCTCAAAGAAAGACTCGTTAAGAATTATTATGGCTTTGGTGGCTCATTATGATTTAGAGTTACACCAAATGGATGTGAAAACTGCCTTTCTTAATGGAGACCTCGAGGAAGAAGTTTATATGGACCAACCAGAGGGTTTCGAAACTAAAGGAAAAGGTCAAATGGTGTGTAAACTGAAGAAGTCAATATATGGACTTAAACAAGCCTCACGACAATGGTATATAAAGTTTAATGATACCATAACATCTTTTGGATTTGTGGAAAATACCGTTGATCGGTGTATATACCAAAAGATCAGTGGGAGCAAGTTTATATTTTTAGTCCTATATGTTGATGATATTCTACTTGCTGCTAATGATTTAGGCATATTGCGTGAGACTAAAGATTTTCTCTCTAAGAATTTTGAAATGAAAGATATGGGTGAGGCATCCTATGTGATAGGAATAGAAATATTCCGTGATAGATCACAAGGATTATTGGGATTGTCTCAGAAAGGCTATATCGAAAGAATTCTAGAGAGATTTAATATGAACAATTGTTCAGCAGGAATTGTTCCAATTCAAAAAGGGGACAAATTTAGTCTCATGCAATGCCCTAAGAATGATGTAGAACGAAAGGAAATGGAATCAATTCCTTACTCTTCAATTGTTGGCAGTCTGATGTATGCTCAGACTTGCACAAGACCGGATATTAGTTTTGCGGTCGGAATGCTAGGAAGATATCAAAGTAACCCAGGAATTGATTATTGGAAAGCTGCAAGAAAGTTTTGAGGTACCTGAAAGGAACGAAGGATTACATGCTCATGTATAGGAGATCCAAGCATTTGGAAGTTATTGGATACTCGGATTTAGATTTCGTTGGATGTATTGACACTAGAAAATCCACGTTTGGTTATTTGTTCCAATTAGCTGAAGGAGCAATATCGTGGAAGAGTGCCAAACAGTATGTCATTGCTACATCCACGATGGAAGCAAAATTTGTGGCATGTTTTGAAGCCACAATTCATGCATTATGGCTGCGAAACTTTATTTCGGGACTTGGGGTTGTCGACACCATTACCAAGCCGCTGAAAATTTACTGTGATAATTCTGCAGCAGTATTCTTCTCCAAGAACGATAAGTACTCCAAAGGTGCCAAACATATGGAATTAAAGTACTTTACCGTCAAGGAGGAAGTTCAGAAACAAAGAGTGTCACTTGAGCATATTAGAACTGATCTCATGATTTCAGATCTATTAACGAAAGGTTTACAGCCAAAGATATTTAAAGAACATGTACATAGAATGGGTCTTGGCTGTATTTATGACTGATGTATTTATGATGTTTTGACACTCTGAGCTCATTTATATGTTTCTGATATACATTAATGATTTCATGTTTCTCATAATGGTATACACATTATTGTTTTGAGATATTACAGGATAAGTCTAAATGAGACATTATGGACCATAATATTTTATAGCTTATGGACCTGATCGCTGAGTTGCTAATGTTGTAGTATATGGAAGGGAGTATGTAGATAAATTATATATAATCGCCATAACTCACATTTAGCAATTTATCGTATTATGGTATTTATGATGGACATTATAGAAGAGATTTGTTTATGCGCAACTGATGTTCCTATATTAAATATTAATATTATGTGATTATTGGGCCAAGTGGGAGAATGTAAATTATTTTCCTATGTATGTGTGGCCCAATAGGTCTAAGGCCCATAATTAATATTTAATTAATTATCAAATATCATCCGTCCGATTGGTTACTTGATGAACGTACCAGATTAAGTGAGAACCTCTATAAATTGGTCCTCTCCCCACCCATTAGGGTTATCGTATTTGTATTCTCTCTTCCATCTCAAAAGGCGGCGGTAACATAAAATTAGGGCAAGGGGCGAGAAACCAGTTTTGAATTAACGCTTCCGCTTCAAGATCATGAATTCCGCTTCAGGTATGTTTTCTATGACGATTACATGTAAGATTATCATGTTCACCTGGTGCAACTAAAGTTTATGCTTACAAGACAAAGTAATTGCACTTCAAAAATATTTTCTTGATTATATTACTGTTATAGACACTTGTAGGGAAGGATTCTGAGGCATGATGTGTCTTAGTTTTTCTCTAGATATCTTATGGTGGCAAACATTCTAAATAACTCTAGTTTTGCCTCTTAAGATAGTGGAACCAGAACAATTCTCCTCTCAGTCAACCTCGAGTTACTTCGAGTCAACCAGAACTTCGAGTTACTGGAAGGATATGAAAGGAATAGCAAAATCCAGTCAACCTCTTTTAGTTTTCATAACTATTACTCCTTTGTAAAATAAGTTGCAATTCATAAACACTTGATCAACTTACAAAAACTATAAGAACAAGACCTCTGGTATTTGCCGGAAAGTTTTGTGCCAGTTACTTTGCTGCAAGGAATTGCAAATTTGCTTTGAACTTTACGAGATTATTCATCTATTCCTCTTGTCTTACTTATCTTTATGTAAGAAGGTGAAGAGCTTCCCCACTCCAAATTCTTTTAGAATAGTATTTTCAACATAGTTGGTCTAGTTAATACTACTATAAATGAGAATCAGTTTCAGAGTCACAAAACATGGCAAAGTTAATTCAGAAATATCCTTAAGCACAGTGCAATTTACTTTGCCTAAGCATATATAGTACCACAGAATACAGGTTCTTTTCTCCTCTCTCTTTTTAATGTTTAAAATTTATTTAGAATAGTATTAATTCTGCATCAACTTACATATGAGTTAATATTCTTCCTAAGTTCCTAAGAGCATCTGCTACAAAAAAGGAACCATTATTTGGGGAGTTTGAAGGGAATTTTCCTCCACCAAACATGACAGATAAACATGAGTATAAAACTCGTAGTTTACTCGCTAGTGTCATTACTCCGTGGACGAGCCTTTCTATTTGTACCAGCTGAGTGCGTCTGCCCATAGTTTTAATTTGAAGGAATATAAATTCATGGATGCAACAGAGATAGCAATAAGACAGAAATGACTATAAAAATCAACAAAAAAAATTAAAAAGCAGGGTATATGGTTACTAACTTAATCAGTAGAAAAAAATAGTGATCATTCAGTTGAAGCGAGCATTGTCGTAGGCGAGACATGTGATTGTTGACCAGCAAAGAATTCCTTTATTTTCTTCATTTCTTTCATCTCATCTTCTAAGGTAGACAAGCGATCATGTAAGGATTTGTTTTCCTTACTCAAAGATTTATTTTCCTCTCTAGTTGAACGCAGCGCGGACAGTACTTTAACCTTTGAAGAAGTGCCACCTTTCAAGTCTTTCGCCGTTACTCCGCCCCCAAATCCAAATACATGGCTACGAGTTTGAGGTCCACAATATTTTTCTACTATCTCTATGCTAGGTAGAGACATATCCGATTGAACCATTTCTTCAATCTGAGCTTACAAAACATACGAAGAAATATTTTATACCAGAATCCATATCATTTTAATTAACTTACATATTTAATTTACCGAACATACATGTTTTTCAATTGCTTTAGGTTCAACAAACTTGTTATTTTAATTACGAGTCTCTAAGAAAATTATTGCCAAATTTGGTGGATTGCCATCTTTTTCGCCCTTCATATCAAAGGCAAACATGTCAAAAGACACCTCGTAAATATTTTCTTTAAAAAAATAGAGATTTTATGATAATACATTTTGATAAATTATCTCTCGAATAGGTTTGCTACCAATATGATGAAGCATTTTCAACTTAGATTAGATTGCTGCATTCTTGTTGCTTCTCGCCTTTGTGAAACAATAAGCTTAAATATAATTATTATAATAAACTTAAATAGTATACTTAGGTTTAATTCTAGGTATAGCAGAAAAAGGATATATGGTGCTAGGGAGGGGAATCAAACTACAGATGTTTTGGCAAAATAGAATATTAAATTACTGGGCATACCTGAAAACTTTCTGAAGAAAAATGTTCATTTACTAACCACTCCCATTCTTTCTTGCCCACTCCCTTTGGAAGATTCTTAAGAGCCTGATAGATTGGCTTATCCTTCACATATTTGGCATGCAAGTGTCCTCTCCATTTGTTCCATAACTCTTTCATCCATCCCAATATATGATCATGATGATCAATCATGTCAACACTCTCAAATTTATCCTACAGTAATCAAAATATCCATTGAGTTAATGCATTACAGGATAAATAATGCACTGTTCAAATCTGATCATAGAAATTTTCTGATGTGGAAAAATAATGCACTGTTCAAACTAATATGCAAGCACTAAATTTGATAAGCTGCTCCATATTGTTAGTTATTGTTGCATGAAAGTACAGCTAGAGAGAAAGACGATGGAAAACTCCATTTGATAAAATCTTCAAAATACATATTATTTGGGATCTTTCATAACATAAATGGCAAATCTTCTGGAACATGATGAATATGACATAAATAACAAAACAATATCTTTGGGACTACACATTCAGATGGACTTGAATAATAGTGATAGTACAAAAAATGATACAAACCCAAACCTTCATACATATTGTAAGCAAGTATTTCATTGAACAAGAGAAAGACCAAGCATAGAGATGTTGTAGTATCTGTTTATTGGTTGCATATTCCTTTTGCAAAGGTCCTGAGTCATACAAGCTTCAGAAAAAGTGCAGCCCAGATGAAACAATCTACTTTTGTAGGCAGCTCTATTTTTAATACTAATTTCCTTGGCAGTTCAATTTCAGATTCAGTCTTTTATCTTTTTCAGCTTGTGTAAGACAGACGTCTGCTCTACTACTAACAGTTCATCCAGTGCTTTGCTTATTTTTGCATCAACCTTGCCAAATACCTCTTTCTGTTGCTAGCAGTAATGTCCTTTCTGAGACTCCCTAGCTTTCGCATAAGTAAGAAGTATGGACATCCCTCACCAAGTAACTTTGCAAAACCACATCTTTTTGAATTTGAAATTAGAAGGATTGACTTACCAGTTTGGAGGTGCTATCTTTTCTAGAAAAGAACATTTCTGTTTTCATATGTTGATTTTACTTCAACTACTAACATACAAGGTTTGCCGCACCATTGAGTAGGCTTCATCGAGCCGACTAAGTAGGCTTCATCGAGTCGATTATCAACAAGTTGCATCCATTGCTTACTAGGTGCCATAACCTTGGAGAGTAGATAAAAATTAGATTAAAAAAGATAAAGGATAAGAAAAATACTAAGATACACAATACTTATTATGATCAAATGCACATAACTATGTGTTGAACTCTAAGGTCGCACTAGGAGATTAGGCTCCTTTTTCCGGTTAATGAATTGCAATGTACAATCAGTTAGCACTAAGATAAATAAAAGATTATAAATTAACTTGTAATTAAGATGCTAGTTCCTAAAACATGTATACATGGTTCCTTCTGGCCCGCCCCGAGATCAAAGTAAGTACTTACATCCAAAAAAGTGCAAACAATATAGTTTACGACAAAAGATCATCCAAAATATCGCTTGCAACTAAAAAGACTGCTTGTTAGTGAATTTCCCTGAGTTCTTAACATGTATCATAATCATGTTCCCTGCTATTTCTTTCTTCTTATAGACACACTCATATTTCCCTAGATTAGTTATATGGAAGAAATATATTTGTGAATACACTGCTAAAATTTCTTACGATATAAATGCATTTACTTTAAATCTTTTCAGAGGTAAAATAAAAATTTCAATAGGAGTAACAATACTTTTTTTAAAAAGAAAATGTGGATATTCTTTATTTTAAGAAATTGTTCAAAGACAAAACAAGCTCACATTAACTACTACTATTAGATAATAATAACAATATTTCCTGTTGATCTCTTCAATAACAGAGACAAAACCTCAATTTTAAAGTAAAAATCAAGAGATTAGAACCTAAGCTTAGTAAAAACCAACAATATTTCCCAGTCTTAAACCTTTCCTCAAGCCGAGCTATAGCTTTCTTAGCAGCAGTAACCTTCTTATCACGAAACTGAAGAACATCGACACTAGCAACATCCTTCAGATCTACATCAAGTGTATAACGAGTCGGGATAATGTAATTGCAATTAACGAGCTTAATAAAAGCCTTAACTCGTGATTTCATTGCTTTTTTTGGCTGAATCTTTTTGAATTACTTTTTATGGGTATTTGCTTATACTTGTAACTAAACAATGGCCATATGGTCTATCTGTTGTTCCTTCATCGAATACATAAAAATTAAATCTCAACACTCATAACATAAAATTAAATCTGCCATTCATGAAATAATTTGCTTTTTCGATATTCACTTTGTATGAAACATAATATTCAGACACATGCTACAAACTTGAATACACTTCAGAGAAATCAAATTTAATGTTAGAGAAGAAGAAGAAGAAGAAGAAGAAGAAGAAGAAGAAGAAGAAGAAGAAGAAGAAGTAGAAGAAGAAGAAGAAGAAGAGGAAGAAGAAGAAGTTGAATAAAACGAAGCAATAAAGCAAATTCCAACTTAGGGAAGAAACAGAGCAACTCAGAAGAGGAGGCATACCTGGGATTCACAAACGAGCGAGGTTGAAAACTAGGTAGACCTGCGATTCACAAATCAACAAATTCGCAACCTTTACTTTGAAAAAACACAGATCTTGAGCTGTGAATAGAGATCTAGGCAGACAACATATGTGTGGATGTTTAGAAACTAGGGCTGAGCTGGGAGTTTTGTTTTGGGAAAACAGAGTTTCTTTTAATTTTTTGAAAATTTTAATTTTAGGATATTAGTTTTGGCGCCTATTTTTTAGAAAATAATATTTTTTTAATATTTTAATATTATATTTGGCAGCACTTCTCCCGCTCATCGCCCATGTTGCCACTATTAATATCATTTGGGACCAGTTACTAATTTCTTTAGGGACTAGATTTAGTACCTTCGCAATAGAATACAAAATTAAGGACCACAATATAATGTCGTTCCAATACATAAACTTTTAGAGACGTGATTATGTCACAACCCAAAAATCCCTCTGAAGGAGTCGTGATGGCACCTAGTCTTTAAACTAGGTAAGCCTAAAATTTACTGAAATAACATTGTTATTTATTAACTTAAAATGAAATTTCTCTAGACAATTTACAATTCCCAAAACCGGTAGTACAAGTCATAAGCCTTTCTAAGAGTAGTCATACAACATAATTACATCACTATTCCGAAACAAAGGGAACAAATGGAAATAAGTACAATTGAAGGTGACTCTGAGGACTATGAATGTTGCAGCAGGTTTACCTTGAGTCTCCACCGCAACGAATAGCTACTATCGATCAAATACCTGGATCTGTACACAAAAATGTACAGAAGTGTAGAACCAGCGCAACCGACCCCATGTGTTGGTAAGTGTCTAGCCTAACCTCGGCGAAGTAGTGACGAGGCTAGGACTAGACTACCAAATAAACCTGTGCAATATAGCGTACAAAAATAATACGAAGCAGATACCGATGATGGCAACAATGATCAAGCAGTTATATAAAAAACAGGTAACAAGAATACCATAAATGTTTCTCAACAATTAATAAATACAAGTGCAATCATCTAATCAAGTCCTTCAAATATAAATCTTTCACATATAAATCCTTCAAGTAATAATCTTTAAGATAATATGCTTTTCAATAAATATCTTTTGAATATATTTCCTTCAAATAAATCTCTTTCAAATAAGCATCTTTCGAATATAATTCTTTCGAGTAAAGGTCACTTTGTGACGCCTCATTTCATAATCATAATTAATATAGGTCTCAACCCACTTTCATATTTTTCACGACCTCTCGTGCCCATATTTATATCGCAACCGCACGGACAACTCACGTGTTATTAAATAAAACCATAATATTTTCCCTGGTACCTCGTGCCTATATCATAACCTGTCATTAATAAAAATCATCATATTTTTCCCGACACCTTGTGCCCACATGTCTCTGTCCCACATTTCGCAACAACATTCTCATGTTACTCAATTCATAGGGTTCATAACCCAATACAATTAAAAATGTTCAAAGAGCCTCATTTACCTAATATAAAGTAGAGTACAACTTCCAACCCAATTAGAAAATAAACAAGAAAAGATGAAGTTATTTTTAGAAATCGTTTGAATAAAGAAAATACCCTTTTTAATTAAAGTACAATTGTTGAAAATGTAAGTATTGAAAGCTTTATATAAATGCGGCGAGATATTGAAAACAATATGGCTTACAACCCAAGGGATCACAACACAGTAAATGACTCTAAACAGTTAATACACTTGAAATGTTAATAACAAATAAACACAGCAAATAGAAAGTGCACGACACCACCCTTCGTGCTTTTACTCTCGTCCTCACCATACACGGCATCACCCTTCGTGTTTTACACTCTTTCTCACCATACACAACATTACCCTTCGTGCTTTACACTCTTCCTCACCAAGCAACATTCACAAAGCAATCCAGGCAAGGAAGTCAATAATATCATGTATTAACAAGAAACCAATAAAGGAATATAAGGAAAGCCATAATTCAATTATCAACAAGAATCAGGAAAATAAAGGACAAGTGCACGGCATCACCCTTCGTGCTTTTACTCTCGTCCTCACCATAAGAATCAATATAATCTGTACGGCATCACCTTTCGTGCTTTTACTCTCATCCTCACCATAAAATCAATATAATCGGCACAGAATTGTACATCGTACGGCACGGCATCACCCTTCGTGCTTTAACACTTTTTCCTCACCATATGAATAATATAAATATGCACGGCATCACCCTTCGTGCTTTAACACTCTTTCCTCACCATATGAATAATATAAATGTGCACGGCATCACCCTTTGTGCTTTATCGCTCTTCCTCACCCAAGCAACAATCACAAAGCAATTTGGGCAAGGGAAAATAAAAAATATCACAATTTGAGTCAATGCTCTATAATGTTCAACAATTCAATCCCGGCAAGGGAACAATAGCACAACAATCAAATCCCAGCAAGGGAAACAACATCAAAACAATAACATCCCGGCAAGGGAACAACATCAAAACAATAATATCCCGGCAAGGGAAACAACATCAAAACAATAATACTTCCACAAGTCATATTCCTCAATAGAAATTATCATATAGAGCATATACACTACGAAACGGAGTCAGGTTAATCAAAGTATAAGACTCACGGGCATGCTTGACACCAACGTATAGATACTCGTCACCATGCCTATACGTCATACTCCACAATTAACATGTAGCAAATAAGACACAACTCCTAATCCCTCAAGCTAAGGTTAGACCAAACACTTACCTCGCTTTGCAACCAATTCAAAACTCCAACAAGTNTTGTTGATTGGCTGGCCTTGTCCTCACGAGAGGCGCCATCACGACCGGGTTGGGATTTTGGCTCATGACAATATTTCGAATATATTT